TTTCACTCCAAAGCTGTTTTTTTGAGAAGTGCCTGATAAAATGGGATTTTCCAGCTGTTCCCAGCACAAGCCCCCGAGAGGACTTGTCTCAGCAGTGCCAGCCACAGCAGCAGGCACCGAATGCTGGCTCAAACACGGGCAGAGATGAGCTGTGCTCCCTTGAAGCCGTGCCGTGGGTGCCTGCAAGGACTGGGAGCAGGGATGGACAGACTCAGAGCAGCCAGGGCTCCTCTCCCTCCCCATTCCCAGCACGTGCCCTGCTGGGTTTGCTGGGCAAACTGGAACTGACCCCACGGGCAGAGCCCGGCTCCGGGACTGCCACCAGCCCTGCCAGGGAAGAGCAAACAGGAGCCTCCTCTTGCACCCAAAGCAAACACAACAATTCCCAGGGATTTTCCGGAGGGTGATTCATTGGATGATTCCTTTAATCTCCAGTGGTGTTGGAGGAGACCTTCATTAAGTTTACGTCCCTTTCAGATGTTCCTTTTTATGCCTTTTTCTCTTCCCCACCAGAAATTTTGCTTATTTCTGTCACCAGAACTGTTAAAGGTAAAAGGGACAGCCTTAGAAAGAGAAGGCAACGGTCTCTGGGAAATAACAGTGATCCAGGGAGGAAAGGGAAGAGAATGGGCCACTCCTTTGGATTTCTAAAGGCACGATTTGGGGTGGGGCAGACACCAGAGACAAAGAGAGCACATGGCTCTTGGGGGGACACCAGCGTGGGAGTACTCCTCATGAGCTTTGTCACTTCACCTGATCCCTGAAATCGGGGCTGGGGGGGTAGGGGCAGGAGGGCAGGACCCCCAGCCCAGAGCAGGGGCTGCCAGGGGGACAAAGTCTGGCTTTGGGTGGCCGGGGAGAGGCTCTGCAGAGCCCAGCTCTGTTTACTGTGCTCTGTGGTTGGATTACACCACGTACAGTAATTCTCCTCGCACTGCCAGTAATTTCACTGACTTACCAAGCAGGCATCATTTCCTGAAAGTCAGCCCTGGACTTAGAGGAAGTAAGAGCCCTCTCGTCGTGACTAAACAGTCTATGCAAATCTCCGGGCTCAGGACGGCTCTGCCGGGCCCTGAGTCTCCATTTTCCCTCCTCTGCCCTGCTGCATGTTGGCTTTTAAAGCCCCCCGATGAGCCCCGGCCGTGAATGGACCTTTCTCCACTTTCCGCTGAGCACCCTCCCCCTGCTGCTGCCTCCCGCGCCGACAGCCCCCCGAATGCTGCTCTAAAATGTCCCAAATGCAGTTCTGGCTGAAGTTCCCATCTCTCTACAAGGTAAAGCTTCATTTTTTCCTGGGTCTTTCCTCCTCCTCCTCTTCCGTGGAATTCCTCGCGTGTTTGGTCGCCAGGGCAGTTGTGCAGTGGCTGCAGAGTTTTGGGAGTGATACCTCTCCATGTTGGGTGCTGGGAATAGATTTTTTTTTTTTTGTCCCAAAGATGTGATTTCTGTTTTGCTGGAGCCTGCATTGCTGGATGCTATTCAGTCAGTCAGAACTCGGTCGCTGAGTGTAGAATTTGGAGGGAAGGATCTCTCTGAGGATTGATCCGTGTGTTTGTGTAGGTGTGATGGCTTTGAGGGCTTTTATTTCCAAAGTTAATGTGGGGTGCAGGAAGCAAGGGGAGCACCATCCAGGCAGAGCTAAACCCTCCATACTGTCAGTTTATTGTCCCAAATTTAGACAGACTTTGGAGTTTGACAGCTGAAAGATTTTATAGTGATCATCTGCAGCTGCTGCTTCGGTCACTCCTGAATAATAATTTTTTTAATCTGTGACTTTTGAGGTGCCAAATCTCTCTTGGCTGGCAGTGTGGCTGTAATAGTGGGTGTGTATTTGGGTGTATAGATGGAGTTTTGGGTTTTTAATAAAACCCCCTCTTCACTGTGTGCTCTGCAGCGCAGTCATCCAGAGCTGCTCTGCAGACACTGTTTCCTCAGTGTCTGGATTGTGAGAAAATAAACCATTTCTATTGATGGCTTGATGGAAAAAAAAATATTTTTAGGATGCTTGTTCTGTCTGTATTTAGACTTCACCTGTTCTTTCATTATTTTTAACACTTTGTTTTGACTGAGGAAGCTGAGCTGTTCCCAGGGGCATGAAGAAAGATCAAATGTCTGGGCTGGGGTACCTTGATTTTTTCCTGATCTTTTCTAGGGAGATAATGTGTCATAATCTCAGTTTTGGGATAATGACAGGAGTACTGTGTGCCACAGTAGCATCAGGTTGTCCTCTGCTCTGAGACCCACCTGCAGCTCTGCCTCCAGCTCTGGGTCTTTGGCCCAGGAGAGGCCTGGACCTGCTGGGACCAGTCCAGAGGATGCCACAGAGATGCTGAATTCCAGGAATAAGATTTATGTAAAAAACAGTTGCAGAAAAGTATCTGAAATAAAGATCCTGCCTCTCAGGACAACTTCCATCTGGTGCAGAAATTTGACTTCCACTGAAACAGAAGTGCTGTTACTGTAGAACCTCACGTTTCTAATGAGAAAAAACCCCTTAAAATTCTGATTAATCCATCTGAAACAGGGACAAAATTACATGTTTCAAACCCCAGTGACTGAGTTGACGCTCACTACAGGCTTTTGGTTGAGGTGATGATCCTTCTTTTTCCCTGAGGTCACCAAGGCAGCTGCTTCCAGCAGAATATAAACCAGGCATGGTTTGTACTGGCTGTGGTTATCCATGGCCTTGTGTTAAACAATTACCCTGGGTTTGGTAAATTTACAGAGGTGGTGGTGGTGGAAGTTCTTGGGGTGGGGAAGCTGGCAGGTGATTAACTTTAGTGCTCTTTAGATAATGCAATTAGTTAAGACAAATGAGAGAGTCTGGAAGTTTGTGACTAATGCCTGGAATGCTGGCAGAGGATGGGATCTCTGCATCACTTCCAGGAGGAGTATTGTCCTCCCTTTGCCTTGGAGGCTGGTTTCCTCTCCCCACTTCAGCCCAGGGGTGGGGCTGGAGTCTTCCCTGGGGATGGAAGGGTCTGGGTGGCATTTGCTGGAGTGTCCTGGGCTGGGTCATGAGGCTTTCCCATATCCTGTTGCTATTCCAGCCCAGCCCTTGCCTATTGTTGGGAGCCCAGTGGCCACTCTGTGCTCCCTCACAGCCTCCCCTGCCATGACATGGGTGTGCAGATGTTTCCTCCTTCCCCAGCCTCTGTCAGTGCCCTTTGCAGGTGAACAAACCCTGCTTGGAAGTGTCTCAGCAATGGGACTGGGTGGGATCTGGGACCATTGGATCCTGCACAGGCTACTCACTCTGACCCACCCAAGTGTTCTGCTTTCTGGAGTGTGAAAAGGAGTCCAGGGATCCTTTAATTCCAAGGTGATAAATCTGGGTGCCTGTTCAGTCTCTGGATGCCTTGATTTCTGGGTAATCCTAAAATAGCCACAGAAATATCAGGAGCAGGAGCTGCCCAGGAAGTGCTGCCCTCCCTCCCTGAGTCTTTAGGTCCACCAGTTGGTAACTGAGGAATCCAAACTCCCCACATCACACCTGCCATTGCTGGAGTGCTTCCAGCACCTGCCCTGATGGCTTCAGGGCACACTGGCCAAATGAGACATCCCAGAGAAGAAGGGGAAAGGAATGTGTCCCAGTGGTTTAAACACTGCAAGCCCATAACTTTTGATAGCAAACGGGAGGGGGTCTGACCCAGCTCTTGGCCTGAAGCCCTTGGGAGCAGCACAGCCAGGCTCAGCTGCTCGTGGGTTTATGTCAGGCAGGGCTAAGTGACTTTTAAGAGTCTTTGGCTGCCTTTCTGCCTGTAGTGGGAAATTGGCCCTTTACTGGAAGTGAGCAGTGATTCCTCCTGCACCAGCCCCTGGCAGCAGCTTGTTGGGTTAGCCTGGAGCTCTGGCTGGGTTGTGCTGACACAGCTGTGAGGAGCCACCCGTGTTGGCAGCATCTCTAGGCCACCAAGACAGACCTGTTGGTCCATTTACCCTTCCCTCACAGACAGGCTCATCTCCTGCCAGACCTCAGTGTTTGGTGCTGGAAGTACATTGCTCTTAATTAACAGCAAAGTTTTTCTGCTTTGACAGAATTTGAAAACGCTATTTGGTGTGGGAGGAGGGCTGAGGTGATGGGATGGAGCTGGGGAAGGGGCAGGGTCTGTGCCACAGTGAAGAATGCAGGGCAAGAAGTGCTTATTGGCTCTTGGTTTTTGCCACCTGAAACAGGGAAACCAGGCATGGGCTTGATGTTAGTGAGAGGATTGATGGCTCTTTCTGAGCCAAAGTCTGTGTGACTCAAACCAACAGCATCACTGGGCTGGCACCAAATAGAACAGTTGCAAACCATCCAGCCCTGCCACCAGAGAAAGAGCAAGGGCAGAGCCTGGTCCCTGTTGCTGAAGCATGTTCCTTGTCCAGGATGGGGCTGGCCCTTGGGAAGAGGATTGGTAGATCTACCTGGATTTACCTAGATTCAAGTCCAGGTGACACCAGCACTCCTTCCCCTGCTCCTGGCAGCCTCGTGTGCGTAGAACCTGCCAGGAGGAGAGGGATGTTTCCCACAGGCTCCAGGTAGTGCTGCATGGAAAATTGCAGTGAGACAGCCACGCTGTGATTGGTGTAGCTGGGTCTCTGGGGGCCCCTGCACATGAATGAAATCCTCGAGTCCTTTTTGGGGTCAAGGTGAAGCCTTTGCAGCTCTCAGCAGCCTTTTTTAATCAAGCACAAAGTGGAGTTGAGCGATGCCTCGTTGGATGCTCCTCTCTCTCCCAGTCCATGGTGCAGGGATGTGCATAGCCCAAGTCAGCCTTGACTGTGTACCCACACTCCTGGCCAGGGCTTTTCCTGCTTTTTCAAGAAGTAGATTTTCAAACAGCACCACAGAGCGTGTCCTCAGTTCCAGGTTAATTTCTGGGATCTGTGGAGCGCAAAGCAGCGGAGACGCTCATTGAGCAGAAAGAAATTAGAAAGAAATTAGCCATTGCTGGCTGAGTGAGGAAGGAGCTCTCTGCTCTCATCCTGCCTCCTCCAACCATGGCTGTGTGTTCCAGGATTCTTCATACCTCGATGAGCTCTCCAACAACAACTCCCTCTTCTCGTCCCCCGCGGATTCCCTGTCGGACATCGCGGATCCCAAGGACTTCCTGCCCGCCGACAGCCTGAGCCACGTGCCAACGCTCTGGGATGTGAACACGCCGCAGCAGAACCAGATCGAGGTAGGGGCTTGTCTTGGTTTCCAAAGACAGGTGTTTGCTGGTTGTGGAAGAGATAAGGAAAACTGCCCAGTGAGCAGAAGACAACTGCCATCCAGATGGCAAAGAGAATACAATTTGCTTGGCAATCTAGGACAGGGCTGCTCCTTTCCCATCCTCACAACAGACAGGAGGTACCTCAGCCTTCATCCCATGGGGGTTTTAGCAAGGAATTAAGAAACCAGCCCAGTTCCTTTGGGTGAAGTTTGAGGTGTGGTGATGTTATTTCGCTGTTACCAGCTTCACTGGTGGAGGGAAGGGGTGAAGTGGTGTTAAGTCTCCTGGAAGCAGGAGGGGATCCCCTCTCAGAGGGATTCATGCACTCTTGCAGGGTGCAGTGCAAGGCAGTAACTCTTTCTCCTGGCAGCCGTGGCAGGTAGGTGCATCCTGTGGTGGATCCATCCCTAAAACATCCAGCAGGGTCCAGGGAGTGCTCCTGGATAGACTCCAGGAAAACTACCCTGACATGGATCATTAGCTTCCCCCCTCAGCAGCACCTTTTGTTTGTTCACCAGGGTAAATACTTCAGTAACAATGACTAAATAACTGTCTCAAGACTCACCATTTGTGTTTACTTTGTGAGTGCAAGTCCCTGCAAGAGTTTTCTGGGGTGCAGCAGCTCCTTGCAGTCCTTCAGCATCACCTGACTGTGGGCATTTTTGGGCATTTTCACCAGCCTTCTGCTCTCTGCTCTGCCTCAGCTGGGGGACTGACATGGGCACCACTGGCACCAGCTGACTCTGGAGGTTGTTGGAGCCACATCATCCTCTGGATCTGGATCTGGGTCTCAGCTTTTGCAGTGTCTGTCCATCTGTGCCTCACATTTCCACTGTAGGTCATTCTCTTAGGAAAAACACCCAAAGTGGCTACCCCAGGAGGCAACTGGGGTAATCACTACTACATTTTGAGGCTCTGTGTGCTCAGTTTCTCTGACTGTGCTTCCCTGAGCAGCCTGCAAGCCTTGGGCCAGTTGGAACTTGCAGTTTGAGGCAGCAGGAAGAGAGCTGAGCTATTGGAATGCAAGAAATGGCTGCAGACATCCCAGGCTTGCAAATTGGATGGTTAAAAATGCTGGAGAGCAGATGCATCTCCCAGGACAGATGAGCCATGTGCCACATTGCTCCTGTTCTCATGTTATTGTTGGGTTTTTATGTAAAAGCCTAAATCCCTGCAGAAATGGTTCTGTGGTGGGCTCTTTCCAATCATGTGAACTCTGGTTGAGACATTTAATGCCTAGAAAATCCTGGAGTTCTGTGTCTGTGGAGTGGACAACAAAAACTTACTGGGAAGTGCTGTTCTAAATCCAGCATGAAGAAAACAAGGGGGAAATAAACGTTGTGGAAGGGTGAGACTGACTTGTGTGACCACAGCAGGATCTCCAGCAGAGTCCTTGTCCCTGTGCTGTTCCTTGTCCCTGTCCCATGCTGTTCCTCATGCCCTGCCCTCTATCCTTGTGTCCTGCTGAGCTCTTGGGCTCAGATAAGGCCAATTAACTCCTTGGAATTCCATTTATAAACGACTTCCTTTGGAAAGGAATCTCCAGCTAATTTTGAATGTTGTCTTATCTGTGTTTGTTGAAGCAGTTGGGGCAAGGTTGCTGCTTTTTTTGGGCTGTTTTTTAACTGAGTAACGTTTCCTGAGGTGGTGTCAGTGAGGTAGGTGCCTCATGGACAGGAGATTTTGGTTTCATTATTGTGTGGAAGTTGCACCATGTACTGGGGCACTGGGTAAAAGTACTGCCAGTTTGATTCACCACTGGCCTCTGCACACTGGTGTGGGATATCAGCAGCTTTGATAATCTTGTCCCTCTCCACGTCACCACACCATCATAATTTTCCACAGAATTGCAAGAATTTTGGCTTTTGAGCAGCCAGAGCAGTCACTAAGCCACAGTGATGGAGCATCCATCACATTACACCCTGATTCCTGTGATCCAGAACATCACTCATCCGTGGCTGTGCAGCCAGTTCTGACCCACAGTCCACTGCTGGGTTATCAGGAGTGTAGTTTTTCTAGAACTTTTGTCTCAGAGACCCAGACAGAGCAGGAACATCAGTCTCTGACAGTTCTGATACGTGGGACATCCCAGGAGCCATGCTGGATGCATCCCGGGGGAGACCCATCTGTGGATCCCAGGTACAGGAACAGCCTTGTGCTTTGTCCTCTTTAAAAATAAACATTCCTAGCTCACTGAGAATCCCTGGATTAGTGCTGAAGCTGGAGGTGGTTTGGGATCAAAGTGGAAAGGGCTGCACACAGAAGTGCCTCTGTGTGCCAGTGGGGAGAGCTGTTATCCCAAGGAAAGGAGCTGTATCCAATATGTTGGCACTGTTTATCACTCAGGAATGGGCAGAGAGGGAAGAACTGCTACCCTGTGAAATATTTGCAGGAGCAACAGACAAAACAGCTTTGATTGTAATGGAGTTGTGAAATAACCTTTTAAAAATAGTCCTTGTCATACATTGTGTTTTCTGTCATCCATCTCACACATTCCCAGTGTTTTTAAGGCTGGGAAGCACAGCCCAGCCTTGGAAGCCTGTGACTGGAATTTGAGAGCTGCTGATGCAGTTTTTTATTGCTCATTCACAGTGTGTTCAAGATGTGAGCAGCCTTCTCCCAGCTCAGAACCCAGGGGAGGGATTTACACAGAGAGGTTGGCTTGGCAGCCACGTGGGACTGATTCCCTTCCCAGGGAAGTCACTGCAAGGTGGGACAAAATGGAGAATAATGCAGAGGAGAAAAAAGTGGAGTAAGAGCGAGGCTGTGATTTTGCAATTATTGGTCTCTCTCCTACTTCCAGCTCTGTGCTCTCATGGATCTGTGTTTGTCTTCTCTGGATGTCCTTAGCACAGAGGGAGGAGAAAATCAAGCCAGGAGGTGAGGGAGGGTAGGGAAAGGCAGGAATTGTACAGGTGGATGATCCATCTCCCACTGCAGCTCCTGCTCCCCCGTGCTTTGGCCCTCACAGCACATTCTCACCTGTGTGGGTGGTTTTCAAATGCCCCCGACAGCCAAGGTTCCTGTTGCTTCTTCTGCAATTCCTGAGGTGGAATGCTGAGTGCCAAAGCTGGGTCAGGATAGCAAAGGTTTGTACTTTGGGGATTTCTGTGATGCAAACTCAGCTTCCTGCTGCTGGAGCTTCGAGAGCACATCCTGCCCTTCCAGCAGCTCCTGGCCTTTCTCCTGTCTGAGACCAAACTGAGCTTGGATTTGTAGGTGGGGATGTTTCACCTGCTCTCCAGATTTGCTGGCACTGAAAACACTTGTTCTGTCCAGCTTCCTTCTGGTAATTCTGACTCAGGCTTCCAGGAATGGAGGGTGGGTTTTTTTTTCTTTCTTCTTTTTATTTTTCTTAAATTTTATTTAAAAATAGGAGTGTTTATCCCCAAGAACTTCCCATCTTTCTCTGCTGCTGGTGGAGCCTGGGTCTGTCATTGAGCCTGGCGCTCTGCACAGGCTGTGAACTTGGAGTAGTGCTGCTCCTGGAGTTGCTGATTGTTTTGGATGCCAGGAGCTGCTGGCCTGACCTTGCTCTCTGTCGGGAAATTCCAGGGTGAATTTGTTTGTGTGGGAGCAGAAAAAGGATCTCCTCAGCCTGGAGTATCTTAGGAGCTCTCTCTCGTTGTGCAGTGTCTCGGGAGCTCTCTCCTGAAAAGCTGCATGGTCCGGGGATCACAGTGTCCAAGGATCTTTGTTGGTGCATCTCCATGTTTGCCCTTCCTCACCTGCACGCTCTGTGTTGCAGCTGTTCTCACCCAGCACTCCGTTCCCTGGCCTGAACAGCTCCAGTGACCACGTTCCTGCTGTCCCCAACACCCCACTCCTCATCAGCTACCAGGTGAGAGCCACGCTGGCCTCAGTGGGATGCTCCTGGTGACATCCCAGTGCTGGGGGGAGCAGTTGTGACCTTTTTCCCTTTAGGGGGAGTGAGACAAGAAGCTCACAGACAGGCACAAGTCCCTGCCCTTTCCAAGAAGTGTGTCACATTTCCCAGAGGGGAACCTTGCTGTGTTAAGGGACTCTTTGGGCTCTGAGGACTTTGCTCTCTGCTGTGGGCACAGTGCTGGGTGTAAAGCTGGGCCAGGTGCCCGCTCAGGGCAGGTTGGGCAGGGTTCACATGACCCCAGAGCCCATGCCAAAAGTGCTGCAAGCATCTTTCCCCAGTTTGGTGAGAACCAGGCAGCTTTTACAGCCCCTGGGGTGGGCTCCCACTGATGGCTTTCCCTAGTCTGGGAATGAGGTGGGTTGTGTTCAGGGGGATGGTTTCAGTGGCAGTTTGAGGCTGGGCACAGCACAACACATATCTGTAGCTCAGCAAGAACATTAACATTTTGTCAATGCTGTTTTCTTCAGTCTCAGGCTCCTGCAGAGGAGGAAGATGAAGGTGAGGAGGAAGAAACAGAAGAGTTGGGGCAGACAGAGACGTATGCAGAATATATCCCTTCAAAGTGTGAGTGTTGCCTTGGGAAGTTCTGTTCACTCCATTGTGGACCAGCCTAATTTAATTGTGTGTTTGCTGTGGCACCTCCCAGGCTTGTGGTTTTCTAGGGAGAGCTCTACAGTGCCCTGGGCTCTGGCTGGGTGATGAGCTCTGGGAGTAAAGACCTCGAGTGACCTGTGTTCTGTTGTCATTCAGCCAAGATTGGGAAGCACCATCCTGACCTGGTGGTTGAGACGAGCACCCTGTCCAGCGTCCCCCCACCTGACATTACCTACAGCCTTTCCCTGCCCTGCTCTGTGGCTGACAAAGGCTCCCTGTCTGCACTACAGCTGGAAGCCATCATCTATGCCTGCCAGGTACCTCCTGCACCTCAGGTGTCTCACACCTGAAGGAAAATGCCTCTTGCAGCGACAGGTGTTCACGTGTGTTTTAAAATGACTGTAATTTGGGTGATGAAACTCCTTTGGCATTTTAAATGCCTTTTGAAGGATTATTTGAAGCTGGGGTCTTCTTTGTGGTCTGTTTCCCAAAGAGGCAAGAACCTTGAACTTTTCTTGCAGAGGGTTTTACATTTGGGGGGGCCTTTTCCATGAATTGCCACTTGTGAGCTTGATCATGACTCCTGCTGCTGTTCGGCTGAGCAGTGCACGTGCATCTGTGGGTTGTGTGAAAGGGTTAAGTGGTGCTCACATCAGAGCTCTTAGCAAAGGCAAATCTCATTTAATTTTCACTACTGTTCTTGATTTTGCAGCAACATGAAGTTTTATTGCCCAATGGGCAGCGAGCTGGGTTTCTGATCGGGGACGGTGCTGGAGTTGGGAAGGGCAGGACCGTCGCAGGCATCATCTTTGAAAATTATCTTAAAGGGAGGAAAAAAGCTCTGTGGTAAGTTGTTGGGTTTTTTTTTCCTCTTTTCCCGTAAGACCTTGGAGTTAGTTTGGATCTGGAAGTAAGGAATTCTTTAGTGCTGATGTTGGCTTTAGAGTTGAGTCATGCTGTGGCCTTGGGTAAGTCGTTTCCACCTCTTAGTGCCTGACTGCTGCCTGTGAAATGGGAATATTCCCCCTGCAGCAGGGATGGGGAATGAGTCACTGTGAAATAGCAGGTTTTGTGATCTTTGGGGTGAGATGTCAAGCCTGGCCCTGCTCTCCCTGGAGTCCTGAAGGGTTATTCCTGGGTGCAGAGCCAGGAATAAGGGGCTTTGCTGCAGATTACAGCCTGTGCCGAGGGGCAGATGGGCTGTCAGATCTCACCCCGGGGGGGTGTGGGCAGTGGCAGATGTGAAAACTCTGCACAACTCCTCCTGCTTTAATCAGAGCTGTTAATCACTGTGTGCTCTGACTGCCTGGGGACATACCCAGCCCAGACTCCCCGGGGCATACCCAGCCCCAACTGCTGGGGGAGATAAGCAGCCCCAGGAGGAGATAACCACCCCACATCTCCTTCACAGGTTCAGCGTCTCCAATGATCTCAAGTACGATGCTGAGAGGGACCTGAAGGACATCGAGGCCTCCCACATTCCTGTGCATGCTCTGAACAAGGTAGGAGAGGAGCTGCACTGCTGCTCTGGGAATCAGCTCCCAGGAGCAGTTGGAGGCTCTGGCTGAGCACGTGGAGCAGGACGAGGCTCAGGCAGCAGCAGAGCCTCTGTTCCCTCCTCCCAGCCACCTCTTCCCACTCAGGGCTCCAGCTATTTTTATTGTGGAGCTGCACAGGGAGCACAGAGCTGTTCCCTGCAGGGAGTGGGAAGTGTCTGTAGGCAAGTGCAAATACAGCAGTACTGGAACCTTCTTCATTCCTAAGAAATCCTGTGGAGAGAACAGCTCTGTGAGATGTGCTCTGCTCTCCTGGGCCAGCCTTTCCCAGTGCTGGTTCATGGAATCATTTCTCAAAGCTGTAGGGAGAACAGAGATTCCTGGACTGCTGGTTTCTCTTGTGGCCTGTGGTCAGATCTCTGTCCAGTGTCTTCCAGTTCACTTAAAACCTCTCCTCTGGTTTTAGTGGTATTGAACAACCAGCTCTTACAAAGTCCATAGAAGCCACAGGTGTTTGACACCTCTGCATGTGCTCCACTAAGAGACTGAAAGGGATTTTGTGTTCAGCCCCAAAAGACTTCAAATGGAACTTTCTTCAGCTTGGGACCAAGCCTTTTCCCCTTGTACTTCATTAATGTGGGACCCATGGCAGCGATACAGGCAACAATCTCACCTGGTCAAAGAGAAAATTATTTTCTAGCAGGAATTAAAACAGACAGGAAGGGTCAAAGCAATGAAAGACTCTAAACTGTTGCTTAAAAAAAAGGAAGCACTTCTTTTGCCAGAAAATCTATGTCCTTGCACTGTCCCCACAGTTCACTGCAGGCTTCCAGATGTGCTGACACATTGGCTGGGGCACTTCTCCAGGCATTTACAGTCCCTGTCATCACAATATTTCAGTGCCAAACACAAATGCTGAAGACATCAGCTACCGAGAGCTTTTTGCCTGTTCTGAGCTCAGACTGGGATTTGTTCTCAGAGCAGGCTGCGGCATGGAATGTGGGCAGGGATGGGTGTGACATGCTGGGGACAACAACCACAGTGTGTGTGTGCTCCTGCTCTTCTTCCTGCAGATTAAATATGGTGACACAGCTACCTCAGAAGGAGTCCTCTTTGCCACCTACTCGGCGCTGATCGGTGAAAGCCAGGCCGGGGGACAGCACAGGACGCGCTTAAAACAGATTTTGGAGTGGTGCAGGGAAAACTTTGAGGGAGTTGTATCCTTTAAAAAAACCAAGAGACAAAAACTGGAGAGAGAGAGGAACTGCTGCTTTTAATTGTGCTTCAGCAGGGAACAAAGAGCCTGGGGCCATGTGAAGTCAGCTGTGGGAGCAGCCCAGTGCCTTCAGGAGACAGGAATCCCCCACACTCAGATCTCCTCCTCCTGCTCCTCCTCATCCAGGATGTAGTTAAGAGGAGGAGGGGAAGAAGCAGCTGGGATTAACCTTTTCAGCATTCCTCTCCCTCAGTATTACAAGACACACCTTGGAGGTGAAGGGAGAGGGAGGGGTGGATGACTTTGGATCTGAAGAGCACAGGGCTGGGCAAACCCAGCAGATTCCATGTGTGGGCATGAGTCAGTCCTGCTGATACTGGGACAGGTTGTTCAGTTGCTTGGAGGAGACTAAGTTCTATTTTCTGTCTGCTCCTATCCTCTGGATGAAAATAGATCCTTTTCCCTTAACTGACACTCCCCTCCAGATTGTGTTTGATGAATGCCACAAAGCCAAAAACGCCAGCTCTACCAAAATGGGCAAAGCAGTGCTGGACCTGCAGAACAAGCTGCCTCGAGCAAGGGTTGTCTATGCCAGTGCCACAGGTGAGCTGCTCTGCCCACTGTGTGGGTGTGAGAGTGGCAGAGGTCCCCTCTGACCTGAAGGGGCACCCTGAGGTGTGAATGTGTGTGAGATCCTGTAAGGTGAAGCCAGTGGTGCTGCAGGGCTAGAGAGGAGCTCAGCGTGCTGAGATCTGCCCCAAGCCCCATCACTGATGTTACTTGTGACTTTTTGGTGGGTCAGATTAATTTCTGTCCAGTTTAGCTTGTTCCTGGCCAGCTGTTCCAGCTGCTTTTTGATGTTTACCCACGGAATGTAGGGAGGGCAATGTTTGGAAAGGTCTCCAAAGGCACAATGGCAAATGACAACCTCTTCAGAGATCTCTTCACTTGAGTCACAACTATTCCCAAGTGCTGTGGGTTTGCTGACATTGATTTCTGTCCCAACAGGTGCCTCAGAGCCAAAAAACATGATTTACATGAGCCGCCTGGGGATCTGGGGGGAGGGAACCCCATTCCGAGCCTTCGATGAGTTCCTGCACGCCATTGAGAAGAGGTGAGTCCTGTCCAGCCCTGTGCATGTAGGAACCTTGTGGGGGACGTGGTGCAGTGCCCAGGGATGGTGTGGGCAGCATGAGCTGGGCTGGGGCTGCTTCTGGAGAGGCTCCTGCCCTGTGCTGCCCCAGAGCAGAGGGAAGGTCCCACAGCTGGGGCTCAGAGCTGGGGCTCACAACTGGGGTTGACAACGTGGGTTTAGAGGTGGGATTCAAAACTGGAGTTCCACAGCTGGAATTCAGAACTGGGATTCAAAACTGGGGTTCCACAGCTGGGGTTCAGAACTTGTATGCAGAACTGGGATTCAAAACTGGGGTTCCACAGCACGGGTTCACAGCTGGGATTCAAAACTGGGGCTCACAGCTGGGGTTCTGACACTGTTGAGTCAGGGATAGAATGAAAGGCTCCAGTCTTCAGAAGGTGAATCAGAAGACCATTTAATAAAGGTAGTGGGTCTTTTATAATGTGACTTGCTAAGGTGAGACTTGATTAGTCTCAAAGTAAAAACCTCTCACACCAATGATGAAATATGAATAGCACACTCTGGAGAACCATATCTGTAAACAAGGGTTGCAGAAAGAGAGATAATAATTGTTTTAATTCTTTTCTCTCAGTTTCCCAGTCTCAGCCTGGGAGAAATTATCTCTGTTCTTTCCTTGACTGAACTGAGAATATCCACAGGGTTCCAAAGCTGGACCCATAGCTGGGGTTCAGAGCTGGGGCTCCAAGGTGGGTCCCACAACTGTTGTCCTCTCCCAGGGGAGTCGGCGCCATGGAGATCGTGGCCATGGACATGAAGGTCAGTGGGATGTACATTGCTCGGCAGCTCAGCTTCACTGGGGTGACCTTCAGGATTGAGGAGATCCCTCTGGACGAGCAGTACAAGGCTGTCTACGACAAGGCAGCCAAGCTGGTGAGCTGGGCCCCTTGTAGTGGGAGGCTGGGGTCTGACCCCTAAATGTGGCCATGACTTCAAACACAGGAAGGAAAAGAGGTACACAATGCTCAGCTGATGTAATAAAAGAACTTAGACTTTTTTGCTTCCATTTGGAAGTTCCACATTTGCAAACCAGATCTGCATCGTGCCGACGGAGAGGATGACCAGTGCTCATTCAGCCCAATGCACACTGATTTTAAATCAGATTATCAACCTTCAGACTGTTCAGATCACCTCCTGCGTGGCAGGAATGACAACGAGAATTACATTAACTCATTCTTCTTGCTGTTATCTGCAGTGGGCAGAGGCCTTGATGGTGTTCCAGCAGGCAGCTGACTGCATCGGGCTGGAGTCTCGGAAGTCGCTGTGGGGTCAGTTCTGGTCGGCTCACCAGCGCTTCTTCAAGTACCTCTGCATCGCTGCCAAGGTGCGGCGCCTCGTGGAGCTGGCCCAGGAGGAGCTGGCCAGGGACAAGGTATGGCAGCAGCACCCACCAGCCTCAGCTGGGCTTTTGTGCAGTCTGCAACCAAAGGGAGTTAATTGTTGCTCGGCTTGGCAGCCGGTCCGAACCTCTTTAAGGCTGAATTTGTCTCCAGAAGGGCAGTGGCTGGGTTTTGGGAATGTTCCCAGTGAATGATGCTGGGGAGTTAAGATGGTCTCGTTTCCTGAGGTGTTGCCTGCTGTTTGTGTGGGCTGGGGGGGGATTCTGGGTGATGTTCAAGGCCAAGTTGGAGAGGGCTTGGAGCTACCTGGTCTAGTGATGTTGTCCCTGTCCCTGGCAGGGGATTGGAATGAGATGAACTTTAAGGTCCTTCCAAACCAAACTAATCTGTAATTCTACAATTCTAGAAGAGGTACCAAACCCTTCACATCAAGTACAGCTCTGTCCTTTCTTCTGTTTGGGTGCACCTTTGAGATTTCAGGCAGAAACTTCCTAGCACAGTCAGTGAGGTTCTGTGCTCAGAGTCCCCCTGTGTGGGGTCAGCACGGGGGGGTGTTGATGCTGAAATTTGAGAGATTCTTCCTCAGGAACCCTGCTATAGGCCCAGCATGGACTTACCTGGAACAGGGGCCAAGGGGAGATACCTGGACCTGGGAAATGCCTCGAGCCTGTAGCAGTGCAGCTGTCCTGGCATCTCAGTGTGCCATCCCTCATGTCCCACATCACTTGTGTCCCCACAGTGCATTGTCATCGGCCTGCAGTCCACGGGGGAGGCTCGCACCAGGGAGGTCTTGGACGAGAACGATGGGCACCTCAACTGCTTTGTCTCTGCTGCAGAGTGAGTTAAAAATCCCTGTTTTCCTTTGTGGGGTGTGTGGGAGGAAAGCTCTGCCCTGGGGCACAGAGCACTGGCAGGTCTTCAAATGCAGTTTGGTGTCACCTCCCCCTGTACCACAGAGGGGACACTCAGGTGGGTCCTTTAGGCACTGTAGCTTCAGTGGGACTGTATGAGCTACATGCTGGATTTTGAAGTCTCCCATGGATTTACAGGAAGAGCCTGATCCTACTTTCTACACACATAAAAGAATTGTCAGAAAGAGCCAGAATTGTAGCTCAGAGGTAGTTTGTGTTGATCTGGCTCTGAAAAATGAGGCTGTAGACACAGAAGAAATGAGCAAGAGAATTTACTGTGATGGCAGACGCTGGGATGATGCTGTGAGGTGGTGTCAGTGGAGCAGGGGGTGGGAGGAGTGGTCTGAGGAGTTTGCATCCACCAGTGTTGGCTTTTAGCTCGTGTATGAAGCAGGACCAGTGTCCTGGCTGTGTGGCCATTGTTCCCAGCTAACAGGAGAGCTGCCTGTGCCAGGAGTGAGCCAGCAGCAGGACTTGTGCTACCCATTCAGCAGAGAGGAAGGCTCCTGCTCCCCCTCCTTCCTGCAGCTTCCAAAACCCCAGCCCATCCCTGAGTGCAGCTGTTCCTGCATGACAGGGGACAAAAATCTGGCACTGGTTTGAGTTTCCTCTGTTCTGCAGAGCTGTTTTCTTCCAAGTGACTTCTGCTGCAGGTGGGAGCAGTGAGACGTGTCCAAGGCAGCGTGAGGCTGGGTTAGGCTGAGCTTTCCTCCCTTATTGACGGGGGTTTGGGTTGATTTGTGTCACTCCTCTGCCTCCAGCCCATTTCTAAAAACCAAACACAGTTTGGTGACAGTGCACAGGGCAGGTCTGGCAGCTCCTTGGGTGATTTGGCCCCTTGGATTGGTTTCCACATCACAGAACTCCAATCTAGGGGACAGCGTGGTCCTGGCTGAGTGGTGCTGGAGGAGGGGTCTGTCAGGGGTCCCACTCTGTGGGAATTGCTGCCCACTCCCAGGGCCAGCAGCTCTGTGTTCCACAGTCCTGGCCAGATCACCAAGTGTCTCCTGGCATCTGCTCAGCCTCCAAATGTGTGTCCTGGTGTTCCAGCACTTCGGGGGATTTCTGGAGGGGAGTGTGCTGGGAAGGAGCAGTTTAAGGATGCTGAGAAATGGGGTTAAAAATAAACATAGTCCTGTGAGTGGATTCCAGCCCAGGGCTGTTTTCAGGGAGATGGGGAGGGTGAGTACAGGAAATGAGTGGAATTTCACAGCTGGGAGGCTCCAGCTGTGGTCATTGGGTCACCCCAGCACACAGGACAAGGGGTCACTCCTGGTGTCACATAACTGCAGTCACAGAGCTGTGTCCCTCTGGGGAGCCGTGTGCTCACTGTCCCCTTCTGCCCCTCGTGCCAAGGGTCCTGGAGCTCCCTGCCCAGCTCCTAAGTCTCCCTTTTCTCACCCAGGGGAGTTGACATGTCCATCTCTCACCTGGTGCTTGCTGTGTTTGGTTTGGGGTTTTTTGTTTGGTTTTTTTTTTTTTTTTTCAAGCAGAACTCAATCAGCATCACCCCATTGCCCTGGGGGTTCATCCGCACAGTCAGCATTTAAACATTTGGTCTTTGATTTGCAGAATAGCCCACAGAAACCTTTGATTTTCACCTTTTCTGACTTTTTTTTGTTCCATTCACTTGGAACCACTACAGATCCATGTTCTGTCCCTTGGTTTTGTGGGAAGCAGGCCCACGACCAGGGAGTTGGAGGACTTTGGTGGAGCATATTTGTTGGATGGCCTGACAGTGGTCTGTGCTCTCAGGGCATGGAGAAGGACTGGGACACTGGGGCTTACTGTATTTTAGGTGTAACAGTTTCCCAATGTAGTGTTTCCCATTTAAAACTCCTTCTTGGTTGTTATATAAAGGACCTGCAGGTCCAAGAGCCACCTTGTACCAAGGGCTGGCTGAGGCCAAGCTGGTGGCCATGGATGGGGTGGATTGACCTCTCTTCCATGGAATGTGGGACTATCCCAAACACACATTGGTATGTGATAACCAGCACGTGTTGCTGGCAGCTGGAATAAATTTTGCATCTTACTTTCAGAGGCGTCTTTCTATCACTAATTCAGAAGCACTTTCCTTCAAACAAAAGAAAGAGAGAAAAAGGAACTGTCATTAAAAGAAAACGTAAGATCTCCTTCACTCCCAGCCCAGCCCCTGCCTCCTGCCCTGCTGCTGCCCCCCAGCCACTCAACTTCTCTGCCTTTTGCCCTTCTCCCCACTTCATGCTTTTTGCTGCTCTCCCTGGTTTTGATTTGCCCTCCTGCACATCTCCCAGTGCTCCCTCAGCCAGAGGATGGCAGCTCTGGGTCTTCCCCCCTTTTCCTCCCTCTGCTTCTCTGCCCTTGCCCTGACCCTTGCCCTCGACCCACGCTGGGGACAGATGGCACAAGGCCTGGCTGGTGTCTGAACCCCTCCTGCAGCAAGGGGGGTCCTCCACAAACCCTTACTTAGAGCATAGAAGGTGTCCTGAGGAAAAAATAATTTCCCTGCCGAATTATTTGTTGTGGCTGCAGGTAAGAAGAGTTTTGGGATTTCTGCTCCAGTGGGATGTGGAACAGGGGGAAGAGGGGGCAGCAGCACTGGCAGGTTGTGGAGCAGCCTGTGCAAGCTGATCCATGAACCCTCTGATGCAGAGGGGGCACGTTGTGCTGTGCTTCATGTCCCAAAACACCAGTGCTTTCCTGTGCACTGCACACTCCTCTGGAGGCAATCCCCTGGGATCCCTTCCCTGAGGAGCTGGCACTGCTTAGAGCCAGCCATGTGCCCATCCTCACATGTGCAGCCAACTTCAGCCCTGCTCAGGAGTGCCTTGTTTCCTTTCTCTCTCTTCCTTTGTCTTTCCTGCTCTCCCTCCCTCCCGAACTGCCACCCCCACCCCAGAGGCTGCCTTGCTGAGGTCACGCTGTCATTTGGGGCAGGCTCAGCTATTTTGAGGTTCCTCCTGCTCCTCTCCCTGCCCTGTCCCTGTGTCCTGCTGGGGCTGGGGCTGTGACACCGCTCGCTCTCTGCTGCAGGGCGTCCGAGGGGCCGCTGCCCCAAGGCTCTGCGGGGCCCGTGTGACCAAGGGGTTGTCATCAAGATCAGCGATGACAGCAGCACCGACTCCGACATGGGGCTGGACAGCGACCTCACCTCCTCCCCGGAGTCCCTGTTAGAGACAGACGACGTCATCTTCGTGGATCACACGTTCAGCGAGGACAGGGGTGAGCAGGGCAGTGACACGGGGACAGCTGGGGAGGGGAGCACTGTGTCCTGCAGAGAGCCCTTCAGGCTTGGCACAGCTTTGTGATCCTAGCTGGATTTTATCCTGGGGGTCACTCTTGGGCTTGTGGGGTGATCCACGTTCACCCACTGTGATCAGCGAGCGGGAGGGATCTGCCCTGTGTGCTCCTTCCCCCAGCAGAACGGGGAAGTCCAGAGGGAATTCACTCTGTGCTCAGCTTTTCTTGCAGGTCATAGTGCCTTTGTGCAGCAACAGTGGCCCCAGAAACCCTCTGGGACAACTTTTTCCCCCTCTCTGATGTCCAGTTACCAGGGAACTCTAAAATTCTGCCTTTCCCATTGTAGGAGGTTTCCACATGCTGCCTTCCCAGAAAGAGCTGCACGGCCTGAGAGAGCTGAAGGTCGAAAAGATGAAACAGGACCTCCTAGCAAAAGTGAAAGCACTGGGCAAAGAGCTACCTCTCAACACCTTGGATGAACTGATTGATTATTTTGGGGGCCCAGAGAACGTGGCTGAGGTACTTTCCATTGTCAGTGTTTTTTGGTGGCACTGGGTGACAGGGAAAGGGGCCAGCGAAGAATCAGAGAGCCATGGAGTGGTTTGGGTGGGAGGGGACCTTAAAGATCATCTCATTCCACCCCTCTGCCCTGGGCAGGGACACCTTTCACTATCCCAGGTTGCTCCAAGCTCCATCCAGCCTGGCCTTGGACATTTCCAGGAATAGAACAGCCACAGCTTCTCTGGGCAAGTCGTGCCCATATAGAGAAAAATTTCTTCCATTAAAAAAAAAGAAAATTCTTGCTGGCAGAGTGTTTCCTCCCCCTGTGAGAGGAAGAAGTGTTGGGAATTGCCTGGGTGGCCTTGCTGGGCTGTGTGGCTCCCCAGCCTGCAGCAGCCCCTCTCCTGTGTGCAGATGACGGGCCGGAAGGGACGGGTGGTTCGCAGGCCCGACGGCTCCGTCGTGTTTGAGTCGCGCGCCGAGCAAGGGCTCTCCATAGACCACGTCAACCTGAAGGAGAAGGAGCGTTTCATGCAGGGGGAAAAGGTGAGCTGGAGTCTGAAAACCTGCACAGGACTGAGGGTGTTGACATGGGGAGGGCAGGGAGGGTGTCTGTGCCTCCCTGTGCCCTGCCAGCCCCAGGCCAGCAGCTCTCTGTGGGTTTCACCTGCTGGAGGGAGACAAAGCCTCCCAGGTGCCTTCGAGGTCTGGGGCTGCTGTAGTACCTGGGGCTGTTTCTTGAAGCTGTTTAACATGTGTTCAGGAACCTGACTCTGTTCTCACTCTCTCTGTAGCTCGTAGCGATAATCTCAGAGGCCTCCAGCTCAGGGATCTCCCTCCAAGCAGACAGACGGGTGAAGAACCAAAAGCGCCGGGTGCACATGACCCTGGAGCTGCCCTGGAGTGCAGACCGGGCCATCCAGCAGTTCGGTGAGGGCTGCGTGTCCCTGGGCACTGTCACCTCCCCTGAGTGTGGGCCAGGCTGTGGGATGGGCCCTGGGAGGGTCAGGTGTGGTGGCAACCCAAGGTGGATTTAGGAGATGTGTCTGTCAGGAGGAGAACAGAGGCACAGTCACTGGTGCTGCTAGACTTGGCAGAGCTGGGTTTATAGCCCTGAGCTCTGGGGCAGAGGATGGACTCCCCAGGGTGAGAAAGATGGGCATTATGTGGCTTTTCTGGTTACATTCCCATTCCAGACAGGCCATCCTAACCTGTTCCATCCCTGTTCCCCTGTCCCCGTAGGCCGAACGCACCGATCCAACCAGGTCTCTGCTCCCGAGTACGTGTTCCTGATCTCAGAGCTGGCAGGGGAGAGGAGGTTTGCATCCATCGTGGCAAAACGCCTGGAGAGCCTGGTGAGTGCCCACAGCAGCCATCAGCTGTGATCCCAACACGGCTCTGATTCCCTCTGAGGAGATCCTGGGTCAGAGCTCCCACCAACACGGCCACTGTAACGGGGGGATTGTGTCACCCCTGGCTGAGGCACTGCAGTCATGGAATGCAGAAGGCTTTAGCATCCTGGGATTTGGGAAAGGAAGTGAGGAGAATATGTAACCGAGACATTGGGAGGAATTTCAGGGAAGCAAGCAATTTCCCCACTATTACTAGAGTATACACCCATATTATTCCCAAAAAGCTTACGAAATAACTAATGGAATAATTATTTTGCCTCTGTTTCATTTTCTTCACTTCTGATAAAACCCCAAATCCTTTGGTAAAGTCTCACTATTCTGGAGGAACACTGCCTCCCCATGGCACATATGCAGACATGCCTTTAGCCATCCTTCCCTGGTGTTTTGCAACATCTCAGAATAAGAATCTTTTGCTCCATCTGCCTTCCAGGGTGCCTTAACTCACGGGGACCGACGGGCCACCGAGTCCCGAGACCTCAGCAAGTACAACTTCGAGAACAAGGTGATAGAGCCGGGCTGGGGCAACGTGGCTGAGAGGATGTTGGAAGAGCTGGGAGAAGGAGCCAGAGCCAGGAGGATCATTGCTAGTGTCTGCAGGCAGGGCCCAGCCTAGCACCCAGCTCCTGGCTCCCAGCTCCTGTGAGCTCAGAGTCATGGTCACACTGAGCACTCTGCTCCCACCAGGAACTGGGAAGGGCACCCAGTCCTCTGACCCCAGGGAAGGGCCTGTACTCCATTCCCCTGGGGACATGGGAGGCACTGACACAGCTTCCCCCTTGCCTTGTCTGTGGCCTTCCTGGGGTGACAGTGTTCTCTGTAGTGTGTGACACCCTCAGCAGCGTGTGTCCCCTCAGCAGTGTGTGACACCCTCAGCAGTGTGTGACACCCTCAGCAGCGTGTGTCCCTTCAGCAGTGTCACCCTCAGCAGTGTGTGACACCCTCAGCAGCGTGTGTCCCCTCAGCAACGACACCCTCAGCAGTGTGTGACACCCTCAGCAGCGTGTGTCCCTTCAGCAGTGTCACCCTCATCAGCGTGTGACACCCTCAGCAGTGTCACCCTCAGCAGTGTCTCCCTTCAGCAGTGTCACCCTCAGCAGTGTTGTCCCCTCAGCCCCAGCTCAGCTGCCGTGTCCGTTCCTCCCGTGTGTGACTCTGCTCTCCTCCCGCAGTACGGGGCCAAAGCCCTGGACGAGGTCCTGCACACGATCCTCAACCACGCAGAGAGCAGGGTTCCTGTGCCCAGGAGCTACAAGAGAGGGGAGGACATCTTTTTCCATGGTAAGAACATTACCAGCTCCAGGGTTTCTGCTGGATGGGTTGGTCTCAGGTTTGGGATGCTGGAAGAACCGAGCAGGAGGTCAGAGGGAGAAAACAAAGGGGAAAGTGCTGCTGGCTTACATTGTCACCCTGCCAGGCATGGGGAGGGGCTGAGTTCCTGAAGGGGAAGCAGTCCTGCAGGAGTGCTGGTGGGAGGCTTAACCCCAAAATACAAAAGATGTCTTCTGCCATTCCAGAAATGAAGCAAGGGCTCCTCTCCGTGGGCATCGGCTGCAGCCAGATGAAGTATGGCACTGCCTCCATGGAGAAGGGTATGTGTGGAGCTGCTCCTGCCCAAGGCTGGGGGCACATGGAAGAGATGGGAGTGTCATGGCCCACCTGACCTCCTGGAGTTTGCTGGGCACCTGAGCAAGGTGTTTGCCTTGTGGGGAAGGTCCTGTAGGAGCAGCCTGTGCTGGAGATCCCGTGGTCCCCCAGCTTCCTCACAGGAACAGCCCTTGGACTGGGCTGCTGGCAGAAGGGACATGGTGGGGCTGCTGGGGGGGCTCTTTGGGAGGGGGCTGGTGGGTTCCATGTCCAGCTGCACCACATCACCTGACCCACTGTGCTCTTGCAGACTGCTCCATCACCAAATTCCTGAACCGCATCCTGGGCCTGGAGGTGGACAAGCAGAACGTGCTCTTCCAGTATTTTTCTGACACCTTTGAGTACCTGATCGAGAAGGACAAGAAGGAGGGCAAATATGACATGGGCATCCTTGGTATGGAGAAGGAGGGGTGGTCACAGCTCTGCCTCCTGCACCCCTGGGGTTCCAGTTCCTCCCTGTGCAGTGTCCCCACCCAGCACAGGTCCTGAGACCCGAGGAGGTGCTTTTGGGAGGATGTTCTTTACAACAGCCTTTTCTCCTTCCACAGATTTAGCCCCGGGAGTGGATGAGATCTACGAGGAGAGCAAGGAGATTTTCCTGACCCCGGGGCACCCGCAGGACGGGCAGGTTGTGTTCTACAAGGTGGGCACCTGTCTGTGCCTGCTTCTAGGCTGTGCTGAGGGGAGATTGGTGAGGCAGACACTGAGGCACTTTTCCTGTCCCTGGAGTTACAAATCCCTCTGTGTGTCCCTGTTCAGATCAGCGTTGACAGAGGCTTAAAGTGGGAGGAAGCCTATGAGAAGTCGCTCAAACTGACAGGAACCTTTGATGGGTTCTACCTCTCCTACAAGGTAAGTCCCTGGGCTCTGCCAGGGTGGCACCTCAGCTCAGGGGTGATTCCAGCAGGAAATCTGCCATGGTGGTATGAGGTCACTCTTCCTGAGGGCTGAGAAATACCTCCAAGGACCTCCATCCTGGCAGGAAGGGGTTAGTTTAGAGAGATCTGGGGAGGGAGGCTGTGCCTGTGACCATGAGCTGTACCCCACAGGTGCGAGGCAGCAAATACACCTGTCTGCTGGCAGAGCAGTGCCGTGGGAAGAACTTCATCCTCTACAAGCCAAATATTGGGAAGCAAAGCCAGCTTGAGAGCCTGGACAGTCTGCAGAAGAAATACCGACGGGTAGGTGGAAGTGCAGCCTCCAGTGTGGGGCTGGGGGAGGTTGGAAGGGCATTCACTGTAACCCTGTCACAGCTCCTCCTGGCTCTCTTGTGGATGGGCAGGGGTGGTGGTAGCACTAGGTGTCCTGACTCCCAGCCCTGGATTTCACATCTCTTCATCCTGGAAAACGGAAAATTCCTAATGCTGAGTGTTCTGCTGCAGGTGGTGCCCGAGGAAGCCAAGGAGCACTGGGAGAGCAGCTACCACTTCTCCTTGAAGAACTGTAACCACGCCGTGTGGTAAGGCAGCTGCAGCCCCAGCCTGCCACAGAATCTCAGGATGGTTTGGGTTCAAAGGGACCTTAAATGAAGCCCATCCAGTTCCATGGCAGTGATGGATAGCGAGACCTTCCACCAGGTTGCTTCATCCAACCTGGCCTTTAACTCCTCCGGGAATGGGACAGCCACACCTTCTCTGGGCAGCCTGTGCCAGGCCCTCACCACCTTCACAGGGAGGAATTCCTTCCCAATATCCAATTTACATCTCCTCACTTTCAGCTTAAAGCCATTCCTCCCTCCCTAGGCAGGACCCTGCACCCTGGGGGTCCCTGACTGTGGCAGTGGGGGAGGCTGTGGGGAAGTGAATCCCGCTCAGCTCCAGGAACCTGTGCTAACTCCAGTGGTTTTCTCCCATGGTCCTCGAAGGAACAAGAGCTGCAAGCTGATCCAGGAGGGGAAGGAATGCTTCCAGGGCATGCGCCTGAGGCACTATTACATGCTGTGCGGGGCCCTGCTGCGCGTGTGGAGCAGGATCGCCGGCGTCATGGCAGACATCACCAGCAGCAGCTACCTGCAGATCGTGCGCCTCAAGACCAAGGAGAAGAAGAAACAAGTTGGTGTGTGAAGTGCTGGGAGCAGGGGGAAGGGGTCCAGCTGCACAGAACCAAGATTTCCTTCTTAAAAGGAGCGTGTTCCAGCACGCGGGGTGGAAGCACGCACTCCTCCCTTCCAGGAGGGGAGTTGGATGTGTTGGGGCAGAGGGGGTGAGCCAGGCCCATCATCCTCCTCCCAGTGCTGCTGCCCTTTCCCTCGGTCCCCACAGTGCCCCATCCCTTCCCAGAGAGCTGTGGGGATGTTATGAATGGAGAGGGGAGAGCTTAGACAAGTCCCTGCCTTTGACAGGTTTCTGGGAGTAGACAGCACCCCAAAACCCACTCTCACTTGCAAGTTCTTAATAATGACCAATCAGGCCATGGAAAACAGACATAAACAGATTCACTTGCTACACAGGATAAACAGAAACACCACTAGCAGATAAAGGTACCTATGGCAAAGAAATAATATAAATTAGGAGTCAATGTCACTGAGCAACAAATGATAGCGGTGTGCAGAGAATGTCCTTAATTTCTCTCAGTCCCCAGGGCAAATACCTTGATGCCCATGTCTTGATTGTTAAGAACTCTCCACACACTCAGAGAGTGTATTAGAGATTTCTGATTTCATGAAAATCATAGTGGTCTTTTACAGTTGTAAAAATGCTTGAAGGTACTTTTTATGTTACAGCTAGTGAAAAAAATAGTATAGATTAGGAGTCAGTCACTTACCAACAAATGATAGCAGTGTGCAGAAAATCTCCTCATTTCTCTCAATCCCAGGGAAGTAACTCAGTGTCTTAACACTGAGAACTCTCCACACACTCAGAGAGTGTATTAGAGATTTCTGATTTCATGAAAATCATAGTGGTCTTTTATAGTTGTAAAAATGCTCATGTTCTGCAATCACTAATATTTTCCTTTCTCCCACCAAGACAGAATGCTTTTTGCTGGCTAAGGAAGTTTTCCGCTAAGATAATGAATCACATGACATTTCTGGTCTGACTTAGCCACATGTCACGGGGAGATACGGTTTTGTTGTATCGGGGTGAAAGGTCCTGCCAGAGGGGACTGATGCCTGTTCCTCCCCCAGGGATAAAGATCCCCGAGAGCTGCGTGCACAGGGTGCGGGAGGAGCTGAAGCAGATGGACGAGGACGTGAAGCGGAAGCAGAGCCGGCTGCTCCAGGCCCAGGAGCAGAGCTCACCCTTCTCCCTGCCACTGCACATCCTGCCAGGGCCTGGGCTGCCCCTGCCCTCCCTGTGCCAGGATGAGATCCTGGACTTGACCTACAGCCCTCCCAGCAACAGCATTCCTGACTTGGTGTTGAACCCAGAGACCAGAGAGCTCTGCTTCTCCTCGGAGCCCCCCCTGCAGCCCCAGCAGCAGCACGGATTGTCCTTTGGCTTTGGCCACGCTCCTGGCCTGGAGCACAGCACAGCCCCCGGCCCCTCACTGCACGAGCCCCCTGCCCTGCTGCCCCCAGCCCCCCTGCAGCAGCCACAGGAGGATTTTCTCCAGCAAGACGGGAATATCAATTTTAGAGAGATCCTGGAGGACATGCTGAGGACGCTCCACGTGCCCTCCCAGGAGAACATGCTGCCCCCGGAGCGTCAGAGCGTGATCCAGTTCAGTGGGCCTTTCCCAGACTTCTGAATGCCAGCTGGGAATGCTGCTGTGGATCTGTGTTCTCTGGTGCAGAGGTGAGATCTGAGGAGCCCTGACTTTTCTACTGGTTTGGACTGGCTCTGCTCTGGTTTTGAGGGAAGAAAAAGCCTGGAGTTCTTAAAGCGAATTTTATTTATATCTAATATCTAGTCAGGCGTGTGCAGGTTTGTATGGAACGTGCCCAGGGGGAGCTGAGCGGGTCCTGCTGGGCTGAGGGGCTCTGCTGGCTTGAGTCCTGCTCACAGGTCAGCACCCAAGTGGGACTGAGGGGAGACCCCTCCTGTGCCCACCCCCTGCAGACTACTGAGTGTCCGAGCCTTCCCCAGCCCTCCAGCCCAGGAGGGTCATGGCCAGGCTCTGGAATGACCTGCTGACCATTGCTGGTCAGTTAGGGAAGAATGGGAGTTCAGCCCCCAGCTTGGGCTGCCCCAGCGCTGCTGCGGACCCTGGGGCTGTGCTGGGATGAAGGGCAAGGGAATGTTGTCCCAGAGGAGCTGGGAGATGCTGAGCTCAGGTGTCCTCTGGCAGGGCTGAGCAGGTGTAGTGAGAGATCCAAAACTGCCTGTGCTGCCCTTTTGGGAAGGGACCTTGAGCTGCCTGAGCTCCATGGGAGTAGCCAGAGCTGGCTGCAGCCCACGGACAGAGTTCAGCCTGTCAGAGTTCAGCCACACCAGGATCAGCAGGATTCTCCAGAGCAGAAGTGACACATGTCCCCTTGTCCTGCACTTTAACCTCACCAGGTCGCCGTGACCAGATGTGCTTTGGCCAGTTTCCTGCTGTCACATGTTGTCCCTTCACCTGGACGTCTCGCTGGTCCTGCCACTGTCCTTGGCTGGGCCATGGACCCCGCTCCAGGGGTCTGGGTCAGGGCAGCCCAGCCGGGTTGTGCAGTGTCATTGTCACTGCTGGGGTGTGGTGTCTTTGCAGTGCCCAGGATGTGCAGTGTCATTGTCACTGCTGGGGTGTGGTGTCTTTGCAGTGCCCAGGATGTGCGGAGTCACTGTTCAGGGTGTGCAGTGTCAGTGTCACTGCCTGAAATATGCAGTGTTGTTGTCATTGCCCAGGACGTGCAGTGTCAGTGGCACTGTTCAGGGTGTGCAGTGTCACTGTCACCGCCCGGGATTTGCAGTTTGGCTGCTCCTGCTGCAACCTCCCCCTCGGATACCAAAGAACAAAGGCTGCTTTGCAAAGCACTGCCCCACCCCCTGCTGCCTCCACCCCAGGACAGAGGGCATCAAAGCCTTTCCTAAAAGTGGCACCGGGATGATTTCAGGCAAGAACCTGGGACCATCCCTGGCTGGCCTGGCCCTTCCTCAGAGAGCCCTTGGGGAGGGGGGTACTCTGTGCCCTAACAGGGCAGTCTTGAGGGGGCTTCACAGTGCCTGCTCCTCTGGGCAGACACTGTCACCCCCATGTCCCCCCAGGGCTCAGGGACTGGCCCAGTGCCCTGTTTGCCGTTGGGAATTGCTCTGGGTCCATGTCCAAGTGTTGTGCTCTGGCTGTGGCAGGAGCTGACCCCGACACCCCGAGGTCTCAGACCTGCCCTGCTGCCACACAAGTGGGCTCAGTTTGAGGCTACTCTGGTCCCTGAATTTCGTTTTGGGGGGGCCTGTCCTTACCCCCTCCCTAGCTGGCACCAGCCTCTTAGCACCAGGCCAGGCTCAATCCCCGCAGTCGGGGCCACATTTCACCTCCTTACCTCAAAGTGATCACCAAAGATGGGGGAGCCACCTGTGCCCCCCCAAAGCCCTGCTGCTGCCCCGGGGGCTCCTGCTCTCCCCCAGCTCTGCTTCTCTCGACCCCAGCAGCCTTCCCCAGGCCCAGGCAGAGCCAGGCTTCCCCTCTCCACACCCTCCCCTATTTAAAGCACTGCTTGCTTGGGGCCGAATTCCCAACAATGAGGGAAAAGATCGCCGGGAAAACCCAGCTCAAAGAGGTTTAAACTCAGGAATAGCAAGGGGGAATTCCCTGCTGGACACCCTCTGCTGTCACCGGAGCCTTAACCTGGTGGCTTTGACCTTAACTTTAAAATATATGCAATCTTCCCTCCCCGCTCTCTGGAAAGGCAGAGACCACCTTCAAGGAATCCCTTTCCTGCCCCGATCCCATGTTTTGTCAGGGTTAATAATATGTAATGTTACCTTTTAACTAAATTATTCTGCAGTTGTCCTACTGATTGTATTTTTAATGAGTCCCTGTTTTCTTCCCTGACACCTTTGTGTTGGCACTTTTTAATCTGCTTGTTGTTTGCCCTTGTTTCTATGTATATTTATAATTAAGTTGTATATATGTAAAGAGATTTTTTAGAATATGTGCCTTGGACTAATAATTCCTGAATTTTCTACTTGCCTCAGAAGGATAATTTTTCACTCTGCTCAGTAAAAATGGAACAGAAGCCACACGTGAGATTTCTGTAACTCCCAGCTCTGTCTCTATCTGTTGGTCTATCCAGCTTGCCCCAGGAGCCCAGCTGGGACTTGGATCAGGAATCCCTGGGCCAGCATCCTGCTGGCAGCTGGACTTTGTATCTCCTGTGTCACCAAATCAGTGACATTGAGGGTTGTTGTCCCAAGCCTCCTCCTCTGCCTGGGAGAAGCCACTGCTCATGCAGAGGATCCTGGCTGGATCCAGCCTGGGCACTGGCCTTGGATGAGGCAGCTCCCTCGTGGCTTGGTTGTAAAAACACAGATAAAGGAGCCTCTGTTCCAAGCAAGAGCTGCCACAGCTCTGGGACGTCTCATCCAGGCACTGCTGGTCCTGGTATCTCATGGAAGGAGGGATGGGGTGACCCCCAGTGAGGGATCCCTAAATGTGAGCAGGATCCTCCCAGCACCCCTGATGTGCTGGAGGCTCTGCAGGGGTGTCAGACTTGGGAGGCCCTGGGATTTTTCCTGGGGACAGACTCCCTGAGGGGGCTGTGGATGTGACAGGGAGACCCAGCACTTCCCAGGCCCTGGGAAGAGGTGCAGCAGCATTCCTGCACGGCAGAACCTGAGCTGTCCCTGCCCAGGATGGGACACCAGCCCCGTGGGCTTGGCTGGGCACGGCTGTGGCTTCACAATCACCAAGACGCTGCCCTGAGGAGGAGGAGGGTGATCCTGCTCGCTGTGGTCAGACACATCCCTGGCTGCAGGGGATGTTTTGCCATGTCCCAACACGCCTGGCTTCTGTTTTGCAGGAATTTCTCCTGGCCAGGGTTTGCACCACTGCTGGACCCATCCCCTCTGCTGCCTTGCCCTGCTAGGAGGATTCCTGGGGACAGGAGGGATCCCAGAGGGGACAGGAGGGATCCCACAGGGGACAAACCTTCCCCAGCTCTGCCTTGCCCAGGGAGCCCCTCGGGAGCACGAATCACGCCGGATTTGCACTTCCTCCTCAACACTGAGGATTATCCCTGCTTGGCTCAGGAGTTGCATAAGGTCTTGGCTTGCCAGCAAACTGCAGGCTGTCAGAGGAGCTGTGCAGCAGCCCCAGCCCCATCCCTGCTCCATCCCACAGCGAACACAGCAGCTCATTCCTAACGCCTTTATTGCCAGGGGACTCGTTACTGTCAGGGGGCTCTGGCTGCTCCTGCCCGCAGCGGCCACGGCCCCGGGAGCCTCTGTCCAGCAGGTGCACGCCATGGGTCAGGGCTGCCCCACCAGCAGCTGGATTGGAGGCAGCCCTTCATGGGGCTGGAGGAGGCTCCGTGGGCAGCAGGGCTGGGACGGGCAGGGGGACAGCGGAGCGGAGCTACAGGTAGGCAGGCAGGTCCTTCTCCATCACCTGTGGGGAAGAGGGGAGTGTTGTAGTCCAGGAACATCCCCAGCCTTCCCCTCCTCCCCAGCAGCAGCACTTACGTAGGGATCTTCCATGGGGCTGTACCTCTTCACCACTTGGCCTTCCCGGTTAATGAGGAACTGTGGGAATGAAGCAAGCCCTGGTGAGCGAGTCCAGGGCTCCCAGGGAGCTGTGGGGGTGTGGCAGCTATAGCCCCCCCAGACTTGCTTCCCCCCTCAGCTGTGCTCTGGGCAGGGCAGGGTTCCCAAGGGTGTCTACATACAGAAACCCCTCGGGATGCTCCTGCCCTGACAGCTGGGGTAACAGCACAGAGCAGAGCCCAGTGTGAGGCTCCCTCCTACACCAGGGACCCCCCTCAGATCTCCAGAGGGACGTGCAGCCCAGAGGAGGCAACCAAAACCACTGGAGTGTCCTACCTTGGTGAAGTTCCATTTTATTGCACTAGGAGAGAAAAAACAGGAGTGAGTTTTGGGCACAAAAGCCCTTCCTCACCCCCAGCCAGGCCCTGGGCCAAGCCCTCCCTGCTTGAAGGGCTGTGGGTCCCCAGGGCTCTCCTTCCCACACTCACTTGCCCAGGGTGCCTCTCCCTTTGGGCTGCTCCTTCATCCACTTCCAGAGGGGGTGAGCATCATCCCCGTTGACATCGATCTTGCTGAACATGTCAAACTTCACCCCGTAGCCCGCAGCAAATTCCTTGATCTGAGCGTTGGTCCCGGGCTCCTGAGGGGCCACACCGGGACCGTGAGGATCCCCGGGCCATCCCAACACTCCCGGGGAACCCGAACCCCCTCCCCACGTACCTGCTTCCCAAACTGGTTACAGGGAAAGCCCAGGATGCGTAAACCCCTCTCAGCGTATCGGGCGTGCAAATCGACAAGCTGAGTGTAGTTTACCGCGGTTTTCCCTCACTTGGAGGCCACGTTGGTGATGACACAGACGTCGCCCCTGCAGAGGGGGTGGACGAGCTGCCATTCCCCGCAGGGCAGGGGCAGAGGTCCCTCACCCGCCCGGCCGAGGCGTGAGGGTTACGCAAGAGCCGCTGTGGCTCAGCCTCGCCCAGCGCTGCGCTCCGCCACGCCGGGCCCGACCCCTCCGTCCTACCGATACTTTTCCAGGGACACGTCGTTGCCATCGATGTCGAGGGCGGTGAAGTCGTAGATGGCCTTGGCCGAGCGCCAGTCGTCCGCGTGGGCACACTGCGGGGCGAGAGCATCACTGCAGAGCAACGCCGGCCGGCGCCGCCACCTCCGCTCCCCTCAGGGACCCCGCGGAGCCTCAACGCGGCCCCGCCGAGCCAGGCCCGAGTCCCCGCCGCCCGCCCCGGACACCCCGCGGGAGAGACCCGGGCCCAGCCCCGCGCGGAGCGGTCCCGGAGCGGTGCCGGAGCGGTGCCGGGGCAGCCCCGCACTCACCATGCTCCGCACCGCGATCAGCCCTGGTCCCAGGAGCGCCGCCCGCGCCGCCGCCCGCGAGCACCACAGCGCGCCCCGCAACGCGCCGGCCCAGCCCATCGCCACTAACCCCGCCCCCTTCGGCCCGATCAGCCAATCAGCGCGCAGAGAGGCTGCCTGGGCGGGATGATGGATGGAAAGCTGACCAATAGAAGGGCAGGAAGGGCGGGGTGGCCGCAGGGGTGTTTATCGGGAGACACCACGAGGGCGGGGGGCAAGGACAGACCAAAGGGCGGGGTGTGGAGACAGGTGCTGCGGGCCACGCCCCCGGGGCGGCGATTCCCTCCCGAGCGGCCGCGGGTTCCGAAAGGAGCCGCAGCCACCCAGAGACCCATCCCGACAGCAGCACAGACCCATCCCGACAGCAGCACGGAGATGCCCGTCGATCCCGGAGCCAGCGGCGGGGGGCAGCACGCGGCGGACTACATCTCCCAGGAGGCGCCGCGGCTGAGGCCCCCCGTGTGCGCGCGCGGGGCAGGCGGCAGCGCGGGCAGCCCGCGGAGGCCTCAGCGGCCAAGATGGACGACGAGGAGGAGACGTACCGGCTGTGGAAGATCCGCAAGACAATCATGCAGGTCCGGGGCAACGGAGGCACCGGGAGGGCCGAGCCTCGTGTGTGTGGGGGGGTTCCGGTGGGAGGCGGGGGGCGTGGAGGCCGGTCCGCCTGCCGGTTCCTGAGCGCGGTGCTGCCCCCGCAGCTCTGCCACGACCGCGGGTACCTGGTGACCCAGGACGAGCTGGATCAGACGCTGGAGGAGTTCAAGGCGCAGTTCGGGGACAAGCCCAGCGAGGGCCGGCCCCGTCGCACCGACCTGACCGTGCTGGTGGCTCACAACGATGATCCCACCGATCAGATGTTCGTGTTCTTCCCCGGTGAGCAGCGCGGGCCCGGGCGGGGCTCAGAGCGTGACCCAGGCGAGGTTCGGAGCTCGGGGGAATTTTGGGTTGTCCCGGGTCTGGCTGAGCCCTCGGGGAGGGGAGTTCAGAGTGCTCTCGGTGACCCCGCGTCTGGCTGTTTCCTCAGAGGAGCCCAAGGTGGGGATCAAGACGATCAAGATGTACTGCCAGCGCATGCAGGAGGAGAACATCACCCGGGCGCTGATCGTGGTGCAGCAGGGAATGACCCCCTCGGCCAAGCAGGTCTGTGGGGACAGGGCCGTGTCCTCCTCAGGAGCTGTGAAAGTTTTCCTTCTCTGTTTCTTAGCGTTGCTGTGGGTAAATAAAAGCCCTGAATTTCCCTCCTAGAGCCTGTTGTACATTAGCACAGGCTCTTTTTTGGCACCCAAATGTGTTCAGTCAGAGCAGCTGCTCCTGGTGACAGTGGCAGAGATGAGAGCCCATGAGCAGTTAGTTGCTGGGGGAGGGAAAAACAGATGTTTCCCTGTTCCAGGAGATCCATGTGCTCATTCTCAGCCTGCCTGTGTCTGTGTGAGCCCAGGTGCTTACGGAGGAGCAGCTCTGAGCACTGCCAGGGCTGCCCCAGCCACCTCTGATGGGCCTTTTCCTTCCAGTCCCTGGTTGACATGGCTCCCAAATACATCCTGGAGCAGTTCCTGCAGCAGGAGCTTCTCATCAACATCACGGAGCACGAGGTGAGCAGGGACAGGACGGCCCCTCCCTCATGCTGGCTGCCTCCCTGCTGCCCCCAGAGTCCTTCTCCTGGTCTCTGGCTGGGCTGAGGGACACAGTTGTCCTTTTCCCCTCCCAAACACGTTGTATCTCAGCCTCTCTTGTGTTTGCAGCTGGTGCCAGAGCACGTGGTTATGACAAAGGAGGAGGTAACGGAGCTGCTGGCCCGATAGTATCCTTTGAGTGTCCCTTTGTGTCCCTTTGAGTATCCCTTTGAGTGTCCCTTTGTGTCCCTTTGAGTGTCCCTCCATCCTGCTCAGGGGGTAATGGAATTTGGGCTGAAAACCCCTCCTCCTGCCAGGGTTCATTTCTGTTCCATGAGCAGCTCATGGCGTGTCTGGAGCTTCTCCTTGACCCCCAGCACAGCAAACTGAGGGAGAACCAGCTCCCCAGGATCCAGGCTGGGGACCCCGTGGCCCGGTACTTCGGGATAAAGCGTGGCCAGGTGAGAGGAGCAGGCTGAGGCAGCAGCTCCCTGGGGCAGGGCAGGGAGGGGATGATCCTTGAGGGCATTTTGGAGCTCTTGGAGCAGAAAAAGTGT